GACCTCACTCTATAAGGGTGAAGAATCTCTTCTGTGTACTGTATGCATGCTAACCCATAGGTGAAGAGAAACTACAGAGAATCTGCATTGAACTTGCTACATTCTGCTTGGAAATAGGCAGTTTGTTGTTCAAAAGGGATAAGAGGCCCAGCAGCTCCAGAATATAGATGTAAACCATGCATAATATCTTCTCGAGTGAAATGACTTGAAAATAACTTCTTTAAAGATGTATAATTGTCAGTAAAATAGTGGGTCAATAGAAAAAAGAAAGTAAAGCTGCAGCTTGACAATGAGTAACTATTAATAGCTTTGTTTTGCAAAGCTAACAGAAGTTTTGTCTTCCTTGAAATTCCATACCCCTTCATAGAAGGGGTAAAAATCCACAAGCTTTATATCTTCATTTTAAAAAAAATTCTTGGGATGAACTTTGCTAGCTCAATCGAGTATAATTGTTTTTAAAATACATTGTACCTTTTTCAACAGTTTAAAATTCATTTTGTCTCTTTAACTTCCCAGTTGCTGTCTAATTTGATACATTCACTTGCATTGTGTTCTGAAATTGGGACCAAGTTATTTATCTTAATAGAGCCAGCCACTGCTTTTTGTAATATACCTGTCAGTATTAGTGGCTCTTTTCTGAACTACTTTTATCTGTCAGACTGTCACCATTAACTGTACACATTTTTGAAATGCACTATGGGACTGGGATACTGCAGGAAGAGATTACCTCTAAAGTAATGAAAAAATGCCTTTTTTTTCCCCCTCCAAAGGCTGACAAAGAACAATCCCCAAATCCCATTAATAACTGCATGAATTGTTCTTTTCACAACTCTAATCCGTAGAGGAAAAATAATAAATCTGTCCAAATCTGTTTTGTATAGTCGTTTTTCTTCAGTTTAATTTTACTCGAAGAAAAGCCTATGATTTCCTTGCAAATGTTACCATAAAATACATAGGGTAACTAAGTAAGAATTTGTAACAGAGATGATAAAACAATCTCTTGTATTCAGACAGAGCAAGCCTGACTAGATTCCAATATTTTTATTGCTTTTCTTCCCTGTAAATCAGTCCTTCTCTGGCATTATCTCTTCTCCAGATATTAAAGAAAATAATCAGGGCTTTATATATCTTTAGCATTTTTGTCGTACTTAAGGCCATGTGATACAAGAATACTATAAGTTTACTAAGAAATTTAGTTTCATGTATTGAATCAACTTTCTGATTTTATCTCACTGTGATGAATGACCTCGTTTTTTGTCCCATTTATTTGTTGGGGTGTGAGGGGAGAGGAAGCAAAAGATTTATCTAACTATAAATGCTTAGGGTCAGAATGATAAATATACTTCCAGGATGGAGGTGGAAAAACAGAAAGCAAAACAACAACCAAGAGGAAACTCTTCCGGAAAAAAATGATGGCACTCATTTATCTGAAAACAAAGATAAGCTTTTGCATATGAATAAGACTATGCTCTCTTCCTTAAGGTCATGGATATGTTATTGCAGAGCACTGAATTAATGTGCTATGTTTATGAATTGTTAAGTAGAAGCAGCTTACCAAGTTTAAATAGACTTTTTAAAAGGTGAAACCAGCTGTTTACTGAATACTTTCCTGTTAATCTTCAGCTCTTTTCCCTAAATCTTGTAGCTATTATGTTAAAATGAAAAAAAACCCAAACCATCCAACCAACCAAAAAAAAACCCCAACAAACAAACAAACAAAAAAAAACCCCACCAAAATCAAAGTCAAACACAACAAAACTCCACAAAAATAAACAAATAAACAAATAAACAAACACCCCAAAACCAAGCCTGGGTATTAGTGAGCTAGGTAGGTCAAAATGATTACAAAAAGGCCAGTATTCCATGTTCAAAACTGGACTTTCTGGCTCATTCCAGGCAGTGTATTGCTATTTGCAAGTATGCAAAAAGGTATTCTTCATATGTGACCTTTCTTCATTCCCACTTTAAATTAACATTGAGTCTGTTCCAGAAAATAAGAACAGAGAAAAATATGTTTTACCTTAGTTGGTTTAATTTGATTGGTGCTTCATTGCACTGTGTTGTACTGATTGACTAATGATATATTGATGTATAGGAAATGCAATCCAAACTCTATGAGATGTCTGGGTGTTCACTTTTCCTGGAGAATTCCCACATGTTGTGCTGCCCTTACAGTGGGGGATAATCCACGTAATGGAAATGCACATGAGCTGTATACACATTGCAAGGTTTAGCTTCTTTGCTTTACCTGAATTGAACTGCTTTAGGCAGCCTAAGAAGTAGAGTAAATGAAAATGTGTTACTTGTCATTGGATGCAAGGATGGAGGTGTGCATGGGACTGCAATAGAGAAGCATCAAGTTTCAAGGTTTTGGATTGGATCAAAAAGCAAAGAGAAGTCATTGCTGAATGGGCAGATTTTCTTATGAGGTTTTTCTTAGATTTTCTTTAGAAGATAGTGTATTCCAGAATGTTAAAAAATATCAATGCTAGATTAGCCTATAAAATATTGATAACAATAAATAATTCCACAGATTAATTATGTCCTTAGAAGGTAGAAGTTAGAAAATGAAGAATTATTGCAATATTTATTTATTCTAAAGCATTAGCAAAAATTACAGAATGCACCAAGCTTTCTTCTGATACCAGATCATTAGTTTACAAAGGTGTGATCATTTCCAGTATTGGCATTTATCAGATTTAACAATAATGTTAAATGTTACTAATTAAACTACTCTTTGCAGATTGATTTCAGCTCCTTTTACAGAAATCACCTTGAGCATATTCCATGCTTATTTTCAACCCTAAAATATTTTTCCAGTAAAAAAGATAAAAACAATGCTCTTTATTTCTGATTTGCCTGAACAAGCACAGTACAAAGGTGTTTTTCATGCTCCAAGGAATTTTTATTCTGATACTATTTTGCATAAGCCACTCAACCACTTGTGCCTTAGACTTTTGCCTTTATGTGTATATACTGGTATAGCACAGCCATGGCCTGCATTTTTAAAATTTCCTTGGAAATGAAGTTAGAAACTTGTTAAGGATATCTGGCTACCTAATGGGTTTTCCAAGCAACTCTCACTAGAGTGTAATTTCGGTGACAACTTTACTATATTTTGAGAATTTTACTCTACTCTTACTCTGTAAAACCATAAATAAAATTAACAAAAGTCTCATCATTGCAGACCATAATTGTTTCATCCAGTCAGTACTCTACAAAGCTGTGTTTCGTTGAATAGGAAATTTTTTTTGTTTGACTAAATAATATCTTTCAGATAGGAATCAGTTTTGATCTGAATACCTTAAGAAAGACAGGGACATTTACACTGACAGCCTGTTTCGTGTCCTTTAAACTCCCTTCCTTTAAACGTGTAACTGCTTTGAATTGTGTGATTTCATCTTTCAGGTGAATCTTGGTATTTATCAGTGTAATTTGAGGAATTCCTTTTCCCTGACATTTTCTCCATAACTAGAAATGCACATACTTTACTCATGACTCTGCAGTCCAAAAAGAAGGAAGAGGAGGTAGGACTAATTTTTTTATCAATATTTTTATGTTAAAAACAAAAATGTGTGAACACAAAGTTTAAAGATAGACATTAGAGAAGTCAGAATATTCACTGCTCAGCGCCTTTTTATTACACCAGCAGCACCAATAGCTTTTGAACTAGCTTTTCAGCAGCACAGCTGCTCTTATCATTTTGAAGCTAGCAGCAGTATAGCAGACTTGCGTAATGACACTGAAGATCAGAAGCGCATCCTGTACCAAACATTTTAGGAGTCTCATTAAACTGCAATTGAAGACATAGCAGCTGCACACTGAAACAGATGTGCTTGCTGGTCTGAATAGTCCAGATCTTCTCTTGTGGAAAAGCTGGGAAAGCAATAACCTGTGGTGCTACAGAATGCGAAGACACAGAATTTCTTGATAGACTTTTTATCTTTTGTTTTGTTTTGTTTATAGAGTTATGGGTACTGTGGGGATCCCTTTCCACAGTGCCCAAGGTAATATGGAGGGACGTGCTAATACAGGGAAAAATTACTGGCAGTAACTTTACTTGTTTGAAGGTAATCTGTTGTGGGATATCTCCAATGTTTGTGCAGTGTGGTACCCTGACACTCTCAATTATGAAGTGCCTTTCACCCATGAGAACAAGGCAGGACACTGTTCTTGTCTCCATTAACTGCTGTGCTGCATTCTGCTGATGCTCTAAGCTCTGCGGTTTCCCCCAGAAATCCCTAATAAAAGATATAAGACTATATACACATAAGATTCTTACCTGTTAGCTTAGTGTTGACAAAGTCAATGTGACAGATGTAACTCGGAAGCTACAGGCAAGACTATTTGCAGACCTCATGCAGTCTGACATAATGGTTTTTTTGCCCAGGATTTGCAATGGGTGGTAGTGAGTATGGAGGTCAATTGCTGCCCAAAAGTATCTGAATGCATGTACAGCTAAGAGCTCTCAACAACAGTTCGAAGTGTTTGCCACCTGGTAGGAAGAAACCATATAGGAGGAAATTTCTTGTTCTATTTTGCTGAGGAAAAATTATTTCTTGTGCTGACCTCTCCCCAGTTACACATTGATCTTCCCCCTGCTGTGAAACTCTGCTAACAGATCTCATT